TTCAAACCCTAGTCCCACTACAGGAAGGAGGAAAAGAAGGAAGGAAGGAAAGAAGGGAGGGAGGAAGGAATGAAGGGAGGGAGGGAGGGAGGAGGAAAGGGAGGATGGGAGGGAGGAAGGAGAAAAAAGAAAGTTAAGTAGGTTTCTGAATTCTGTGACCTTGTTTAACCCTCCCAACCACCTTGGAGACAGGTGCCTTCACTAAGCCAGTTTTATAGATGGGGAAAAAGTTGAGTTCTCCTCATCTATAGTTTGGAACATTTTGCACAAGGTTTCCCAGTGGTGATTCAGGATTAGAACACAAGCTGAATGACTTCAGAGCCTGGTGTCTTAAAACTGTAATCAAATCTTATATAGAAGGTGCCTGGCACTGAGGAATCCTCGTCTTTATGGCATGGGCAGCTCAAGTGCTGGTCTCAGCCTGGCTTCATGATGGAGGGAGAGATCTGTAGGGTGAGGAAGGCATGCCCAGCACAAGGTCCCAGGAACCTTACTTTAAAGGTAGGTGAGGGACCCTCACTCCAGTCCGCCATGATGGAGTCTTATGTAACATAACATAATCACGACAGTGAGTGACTTAACCATCAACATTGCCAGCTAGTATAACCACGTCACAGTCATGACCAGCCCAGCAGACCCTGCCCACACTCAAGGGAGGGGAGCTATTCAGGGAGTGTGGGCTAGGAGCAGATATCCAGAGTTCTGCCTATCACACCATCCCAGCTTAGACTGGTCAAGCCACAGACACCCCGCAAGCCTGTGACAGGGAGAATTGGTGCGTGTTGTAGTCACTAAGGTGTGATGTGGTTTCTCATCACAGTGTCATTGTAACAGTTGCTGGTGGTTACGTTTGTTTTCAGGAAGCACCACCCTATCTCCACTGCTCGGAGGCAGCCTGATATAACGGAGGGGCATTGAGCTGTGCCGTGTGGATCTGGATTCGAATCTCTGCTTCTCCACTCTCTAGTTGGGTGCCTGGAGACAGTTACTTCATTCTGGGTTCATTTCCTCATTTGTGTCCTGGCACCTGTAATACCACCTCATTGGGAATGTGGGGAGGAGTAAACAGACTTTGGATGCACAGCACCTGTCACATAAGCATATGTGACACTCTCAAGCTCCTAGCTCTACTCCACATGCCCACCTCTTCAGAGGACACATGTGGTCTGAATTCAGGGAGGGTCCCTGTCTTGTGGGCTGCCTGGTGAGGGTCTCACCACCAGAAGAGGGAGGGTAGACTCCCCGGCCCTGGGTAGACTGGTGTGAGCCAGATAGGAGAAATCAGCCTGCCTGCTTTCTCTAGACAGCGGCAAGACCCCTGCTCCCTCTTTCTAGCTGGTTAGTATTAAAATGTGACATGGCCGCCTTCTTTGGGAAGCGCAGACTTCACTGACTAGTTGTGTGAGCTTGTTGAGCAAGTCACTTAAATTTTCTGACCCTTGATTTCCTTCCCTGTACATTAAGCATTAAAGTCTCACCTCACAACTGTGCTGTACGGATGCTGTGACAGAAAGCTTTGCGCTGGCCTTCACAGGCACTTGCTAAACAGTGAACAGGTGTCCACATTTGTCTGTTCTTTTCAGTGGCCCCCCACCTCCAGAATCTGTCGAGGAGAGGAGCACAGAAAAGGTCCCTTCTCACATCCAGGGCCACATTTGATCCTCATGAAAACCCTCTGTGGGGGGCAAGGTGGGGGTGTCAAGCTGAGTGCTAAGCTGGAACTGGTAGATTACACCTCTCTGCTTCCTCTGGGATGAGTGTGGTCACATGACTGGCTTTGGCCAATGGGGTGTGAGCAGCAGTGTCTTGGGTTTGGGTGGAGGGTCTCAGAGCCATCTCTCTGTCCTTCCTTCTGGTAGCAGTGGCCGAGACCCTGGAACTGATACCATTCTCTATCATGCTGTGATGAATGCTAGCCTGTTAATATGCCTCCCCAAAACTCAGGTGTTAGGAACTTACTCTCCAAATTCATAAGCCAACGGTATTAGGAGGTAAGGCCATCAGGCAGTCATTAGGATTAGATGATGTCATGAGGGTGAAGCCCCCATGATGGGTCCTGTGGCTTTATAAAAAGAGGAAGATAGAACTCAGTGAGCAGCTTGCTCTGTCTCCTCATCTGTCCCCTCTGCCATGTTACAATACAGCCTGAGGCTCTCACCAGATGCCAGCACCAGGCTCTTGGACTTCCCAGCCTCTGGAAGCAAGAGTCAAATAACTGTCCATCCTTTATAAATTACCCAGGCTCAGGTATTTTGTGATAGCAATGGAAATCAGACTAAGACAGTAAGTAGTGGATATGAATGAATATGGACAAGAAATAAACAAGTCTTTGGTGTCTCAGGCCACCAAGTGTGGTTTTGGTAGTTTTTGCATTCTGTCCTTATACAGTGGGACAGACTTTGTTTCCATTTGAAGGATGGGATAGCTGAGTCACACAGAGGGGACCTCGAATCAAGGGCTTGATCCGAAAGAGCACATTCTGAGTCTCCCAGGGAGACGGAAGTAGTGATGAGCTGAGCAGCCTCCTGCAGCCTCTGGGAGACGAGCCCCCCTTCGCCAGCAGTTGTTGATCTCAGAGGGAATAGAACAGTGATTCTCTGTTCAGAGTAAGTCATGGCAGCCTGGGGAGGGGAAAGGATGGGGTTCTAGGAGCTGTACTCTTAGGATGACCAGATATTCTAGATCCTACCTCACTACAGGTGAAATTGAACTTGGTTTCTCTTCAGTGTGTCCCTCCCACATCAGTGGATCATGTGTCTGCTGACTCAGGAGCTTCTTCCCCTCACTAGTAAATTTCACCCAAGGAAGGGCTGGGGAAACCGATCCACCAAAAGAGGAGCGTGACCAATGAAATAATGCTGTGCTATGCAGCATTGTGACGACAGCTGACAGTGCACACATTTCTGTTTCTTTCACGTATGGAAACCTGTCTTTATCCTGAGCAGGAGTGTGCCCCGTGTTAGTTTCCCAGCGCTGGGGATGGGCAGCTCCCAGCAATACGGGAATGCTCAGAGATGCCTTTAAGTCCAGCTCTTTTTTTTTTTTTTTAATTTTTATTGTTTTGTTATTCATATGTGCATACAATGCTTGGGTCATTTCTTCCCCCTGCCCCCATCCCCTCCCTTACCACCCACTCCGCCCCCTCCCTCTCCCCCCCAACCCCTTGATACCCGGCAGAAACTATTTTGCCCTTATTTCTAATTTTGTTGAAGAGAGAGTATAAGCCATAATAGGAAGGAACAAGGGTTTTTGCTGGTTGAGACAAGGATAGCTATACAGGGCATTGACTCACATTGATTTCCTGTGCGTGGGTGTTACCTTCTAGGTTAATTCTTTTTGATCTAACCTTTTCTCTAGTTCCTGGTCCCCTTTCCTATTGGCCTCAGTTGCTTTTAAGGTATCTGCTTTAGTTTCTCTGTGTTGAGGGCAACAAATGCTAGCTAATTTTTTAGGTGTCTTACCTATCCTCATCCTCCCTTGTGTGCTCTCGCTTTTATCATGTGCTCAAAGTCCAATCCCCTTGTTGTATTTGCCCTTGATCTAATGTCCACATATGAGGGAGAACATACGATTTTTAGTCTTTTGGGCCAGGCTAACCTCACTCAGAATGATGTTCTCCAATTCCATCCATTTTCCAGCAAATGATAACATTTCGTTCTTCTTCATGGCTGCATAAAATAAGCCCATCCCTTGACTCAACTGATCACATGGTCACCTGAAAGATTCTTAGTGATCATCTAGCTTTCTTTCTCAAAATATTCTGAGACAAGAGTCCAGAGGGGAGAAATGTGTCATCGCGGGACACACAGAGAATCTGATGCAGAGCTGAGGGGGGAACTCAAAGTTGTTGACTCTCCCTCCATCTTCCTCACTGAACCATAGATGGTCTGATGGGGTGGGGAGGAAGGGGCCAGCATGGGATGGACTGTGGCTGGGGGCACCAAATCTGACATAAGCTGCTTGGATTTCGTCAGGGGTTGGTGTGGGTCACGACATACTACAGGTACTGTGTGTGGAGGCGGGGCTGGGGGCAGCTTCCCTTTGGTCCTCAGGCCTTGGGAAGAGCCAACTTGCCTTTAGGTCCTGCTCTGGAGAACTCAGGCTGGGTGGGCTCAGGACAACAGAACACATAACCAATTCTTCCCCATTTGTCTCCATCCCATTCATTTCCTGTTTAGAAGCTCATCCTGGAATGGCATGGGTACCCTGGTTTAGGACCAGGGAACATGGGTGGAGGGGCCACTGCTGGTCTCTGTTCCTTTACTGAGCCCCAAACTGAAATATGTGTTGCTAAGGCTCAGAGCTGTGCCCTCAGCCAACAAGGGTCATTTCAATTAGAGATGCTGGGCAGATAAGCCCCCTCCCCACTCTTCCACCCATCCACATCCCTGGGACAGCCAGCAGCCAATGACTGGCTGCTATGGTACAAAAGGGCACACCCCTGAGCTTAAGATGAAACTAACTCTGGTGCTACAGTGCACACTCCAGAGCTTCCTGTTATATCCGGTTGAAGCTGGACGCCAGTTAAAGCCACCTCTTTGCTTAGCTTCTTCCCCTACCCCGTCATGCTTCCTTTACTTCCCTCCAGATCTCTCCTAAGTGCTCTCCATCAATAATTCACCTGTCCAGTAGTCTCCACTTTGGGCTTTGCTTCTAAGGCGATGCGTACGCGTCCAAGCGCTCTCCCACCGACCCATGCCTGTGGCGTGGGAGAGACCCACTGAAGGCTCCCAGCTCAGTGGCAGGAAATGCTTATTCTAGTGCGGTCCCCCTCATTCTCTGCCACTGCTCCTTCCATGAGCTCAGGAGATGGTGCAGTGACAATGACACTGATCAGATGCTTCTGAGATTGACAAGGTACCACAGCTGCCTGGCACAGGGGATGCAGTGGGGTGCAACAGAAACACAGTTCCTACTCTTACCCTCTAAATTAGGGAGACACTCCCCAGTCCCCAGTCCCATTATGGCAGTCGATTGAGGACACAGCACCTTCAAAATGTTTTTAATTTGTTTTAATGTATAACAGTTACGCCTGAGTTACAGAGGCAGCGCTTACAAGCAGCAGGTAGTTAAAGCAAATACCAGTTTCTCTTCTAGTCTACGACTCCATATAGCTGAATAAATTATGGTGCGATTATATTTAAACACGCGCCCTCATGCGCACCCCACTCACCCCCTCACACACACTCACTCCCGCATGGAGGATAATGGCTGTGAGTCAAACACTGAAGCAACAACGTTGTGGGTACTAGGAAGAAGGAATGTTCTAGAGCACTATGTGGGTATTTCCCAGTAGGGGGTTGACCATGTCAGTGGTGACAGAAGAAACATTAAATACTTGGATGTCTTGGAGCATTTAAAGATGGCGGCCTGAGTACCCCCCATTTTGGTCTTGGCTTGGTGCTTCTGTAGGAAGGAAGGAGAGAAGACTTGTGTACCCTAAAAAGTGTCCAATGGGAAAAAACACGTTCAGGAGTCTGACGAGATAGGATCCCAGAGAAAGTCTTTTTAGTTGGCAATTGTAGAGTTTCTCACTCAGGTCCAGGGTCCACATCTCAAAATGTCTCACCAGCTCCATCCAAAACAACACTGGGTTTTGATGGAGGGCTCAAAGTCCAGGACCTGTCCTGTTCTCCAGACATTGTCAAGACTGTAAGTCTGACCTTTTCATTTGCTTCCTAATCCAACCTTTTCTCATTCTTCTCTCCTTCTCTCTTACTCCCCTATTTCTCTGTTTCCTCTGGCAAAAGAACAGGAAAAGTGAAGCAAGTCAAAAATAAAGAGTATAAAAGCATACCTTGGTTCTTACACATCACTTCTTTTTTCTTCATAGCAAGAGAGAAATATCAAATGAAAAAGCAACAAAAAAGCAACAAAAATGAAAAGCCAATCGAGCCTGGAATGTATAATTTGAAACACATAATATGCAGATATAGCCCTACAGATGGTCCCTGGCACTAGCACGACACACACTGTGGGGGTTTCTTTCCTTTTTTTAGTATATATATTTATATGTAAAAAGCCAACTTCCTATAAACAAACAGCACATCACCACATTTCCAACTAATGTACATGAGCTCAGAAGAAGGGCCCCATGGGTAGGACCAGTAGCTACTAGGGATAAGTTGGAGGAGACATCTCTTATCTTGCTATGGGCTCTATTTACAGGGATGGGGAGGTTATTTCTGGGCTGTCCTGGCCACTGGAATTCAGGCCTTTTAGGCTGTGGTCAACCCCAAAGAGATTGAGGCCTTGTGTTTCTTGTCCAACCCACATCAGCTCTCTGTTGAAGCTGAGAGCTACTGGCCCCAAACTGAACTTCATAGACTGAGTTGGCTACTTATGAATACATGGGGTTTTAGGGGAAAAAAATCTACTGAGGTCAAGGGCCCATCAAAAAAATAAGTCCCATTTGTGCCAAGATGGTGGCTTGGGAGAACTTCAGAGGTGTTGGACATAAGGAGAAAACATTTGGTTTACTTCCAAGCAGGTCTTGGTTCCATTTTGCCATAGGGGTAGATAATTGGGGTTGGTCCTAGCCTTAGAAAGCTGACTCTTAGGGTGGGCTGGCAGTTTTGAGGTTACCTGCTTAAGATCCCTGCTCCTGACTCACATAGGATAGAAAGAGACTCAGACACACTCTGAGCCATGTCTCCAGGAATGTGCACGAAGATGCGGTTGGTCTTTCAAAAGGACTGCTTTCTAGCTGCGACAGCTACAGAAATGTGAACTGGGTTTCCCAGGAACAATATGCTCTTCCCTTTTGGTCAGAGCATGAAGAACCCAAAGTCTTTGTAGTGGATGCTCCAATGAAACCTTGGCTGAACTTGGTAAGCCACATCTATCTGGTGCCCATTGCTACCAAAGAGTCTGTCCTCAGTTCTTAATAGGTTCCTCTAAACCATAGACATAAGCCATCCGGGTCACAGCCTGGGACAGGCTTGATATGACCAGGTCTGAAGATGAGAAACAGGTGAGCATTTGTCACACAGGAAATGTCCATGCAGATAAGTGCCCCAGCATCTTGTCAACCCAGCCCCCCAGGAAGAAGAAACTCAGATGAGCTCCCAAAGCAGCAGCCCTTCCCTCCAGGAATGTCTTGCTGGCTGAGCATACAAGTGGCCTCATGTGTCCAGGTGGAGACAAGCAATTGGGTCCAATGTTGGTGGGTTCCATGCCGTACCTCCCATTACAAGTGCCCCATACCCAGCAGCACATGGAGAAGGAGATCCAAGTGCAGACTGTAGTGATGGTCATGGTGAAGATGAATAAAAGTGTGATCAACAGGTAAAGAGCTCTGGGGAGGAAAATTGGGGGCCTGACCCATCCCCCAAAGATCCCAGCGCTTAAAGAGAATGGAGCTTGAGGGAGCCCCTCAAGGGCTCAAGGAAGGTGCCCTTTCTCTTGCCTCTAGACCTTTTGGTGTCTTCCTCTGCTAGGAGGTGGTAGCTTGAAAACTGGCCGCATGTGCCCCAGATCAAGGCATCCAATCGGGAGACTGAAGCCTCTTGGCCCAGGAGCCAGTCAACTTGATTGGGTGGAACAGGGACATGCCCCCCACCAAAATGCCAAGGGGAATAGATAGTCTTTGGGGATGGGCTGCCCTCCCTGGTCGAAAGTGCCACAAGAAGCCCTCTGCACTCAGACAGGGCCAAGGAGCTGGCACACAGGAAGACAAAGTCCCCTCCTAGAGGACATGTATGTGCAAGATGGGGTCTGGTCTCGTTGGGAGGCAGAGTGCAGAGTCTCAACTTTCGGGCTGTGAACTTGGAGGCTGAGAGCTAAGGCCTTCGGCTCAAGGGCTGGCAGCTCACAGGCAAGAGGACCACGCAGAGGGAAGCCCCCCAGAACCAGCCCTGTGCGCCTTCACTCAGTGGCCTTAAGACTTTCCCCTCTGTTCCATCGAGGAAACCAAAAGGTTCTGCTTGCATCCCAGACCCTGATGCAGTGGGTGAGTTTAGAATCAGGCTTTAGCCTAAGAGCCCTCTACCTCCCGGTGCCTGAGCTGAGAACTGGTACCCTGGACCAGCCCATGGCTGACAAGCCCCACGCGCTGTTCCTACCCGCTCCCTGGCAGAGCCTCTTCCTGGTCTCCCTCATCTCCTACCAGAGCTAGGTTTCCTGACACAAGCAGGGGTGTAGGGGGGAGTCCTGAGTCCTTCTGATTCTTGGTAGAGCTGAGACTGCCCTGCTGCCAATCCCCCAGGGGGGACTGGAATCCCAGTGTCCAGAGGAGGAAGGGCTTGTGTTTCTGTCAGTAAGCCAGAGACCCACATTGGGGGGGCTCACAGATCTTGCAGCCTCGGGACTCCACCTGTACCTCTGGCCAGGGCACCAAAGGATTTGGGTGCAAAGGGCACTAGGACCTGATCTCAGGCCCCATCCATCTGGATGCCAAGGTGTGCCATTTGGGATGAGCCTCAGATTCCAGGGTGAGTTGGCACTGAGGCCACAGTGGATTTGAGTTGGGAGCACTGCAGGCTGGCCAGGAGCCCTCCTGGGGACAAAGGGAGACGCAGGCTCCAAGGGTCCAGTTGGGGCGTCTAGCCACAGGTGAAGGACAACACTGACTGCACATCTCCAGGGAGCTGCTTGTGAGAAGGGAGTGGGCTTCTTTCCTGGCCTCCTGTGACCCTGGGGCATGGAGAGGACTGAGGCAGGGAATTTCAGGGGTCAGGAGGGGTTGGGCTGGGGCAAGTCGCCCCAGGGGCCCTAGTAGGCCTGGCCGGTTTCCACAGGGAGGAGTCCTAGCACAGCGGAATGCTCCCCAAGCTTCATGCGACGTTGTGTGGACAGGCTCACATTTTTGGCCAGGTAATCAACAGCAGCTGGAAAAAAAACAGAAACTACTAGAAACTGGGGCTCTTTTTGTCTCTTTTTCCATTTACCCTCCATCCATCCATCCATCCATCCATCCATCTGTTCATACATCCATGTATCCATCCATCCATGCATCATCCATCTATCCATCCATTCTGTCCATCCATCCATCTGTTCATACATCCATGCATCCATCCATCATCCTCTGTCCATCTAACCATCTGTCTTTCCTTTCCTTTTCTTCTTTCCTTCCATCCATCCTTCCACTTCATCGTGAAGTCCTGTCTCTCACTTCCCCTCCAATCATTTAGCAAATGTTTACTCAACATTCACATTTGCCCGGTTCCCTCATCAGTTCTGTAGGAAGTATAGATTGGTATCCACAGTGCTGAGTGAAGAATTGATCCTCCCTTCCAGCAAGCCCTCTACATATCCCGGTCATGGGGGATAGCCAAGCCATTCTGCCTCTTCTGGACCATAAACCCAGCTCGTGGATGAAGCAAAGCAAGACTCTTGCACAAAAGTCAAAGCAGCTTTTGTGAATGAGTTGAGGAGGCCATGGAGAAGGAGGAGTGGGGAGCTGAGACCTACAGCCCTGTCAGCTCTGGGCACCCAGAAGAGACAGATGAGTGTCTGAGAACATGTATGCATGTGAGTGTGCACACTTGTGTGTGTGAATCCTGTGTGCAGTGGAAACAATCTCCTCGAAGCAGTAATCAGCATGCACATGAATGTTCACACAAGCAACACTTGCACAGGCACGTGTGCACACATGTGGGAGTCATGGGCCCCTTTGTGAGCAGATGCACAGTGGGGGTGCCTGTGTGTGAACAGGTACCATGTATAGGTGAGCTCCTCCTGACCCAGCTACATGCATCTGTCCCTGTGCAGCTAGGACCACTGGCTAGCTTCATGCATGTGTGTTCTGTCTTGACTGAGGCTGCAGTCTCCCTGAACAAGTGACTTGACTGACATGTGGCCAAAGCCTCAGGAGATGCGAAGATGCTGCCTTCCAAGCCGGGCTTGGTGGCTGTGGCCAATCCATCCCCCTGGGACCTTCAGGATCTAGAGAGGAGAGGAAAATGCAGAGCTCTGCATGAGAAGTCACGAGGCTGATCAGTGCCCGCTCTGTCACCTGCCCACCAGGGCAACTTGGAACATTCTGCATGCTTTCCCCAGCGTGGCAGCTTCTGCCTAGAGCAGGTGGGTGGAGCCAGGAGGTGATGGACAAGGCCTGAGGGTGAGGTTAGGGAGGCCAGGTGGCAATACCAATAATTGAGCACCGAGAGGTCAAATTGCTTAGGGGTTCCAATGAATTCGTCTCAAATCCTGTGCCTGTCAACTTTTAGTGTGTGATTTGGGGCACATACCACCTCACCCACCCAAGCCTCACTTTCCTTGTCAGTAAAATGGGGATAATGGTCTTGAGGCTGAAGAGCTGTGGTGAAGTTAGAGAAGAAAATCCACGTGAATGATGAGTGTGAGCATAACATATGTGGGCTTAAATGCAGCAGGGGTTTAGGGCCGGGATTCAGTAAGCAAATGACTTTTGATGGGGGCATGGGCACAGCCACATCTTTACGTGGCTTTGAGTCAACCACTCTTCATCTCTAAACCTCTTTCCCCATCCACAAAATGGGAAAAACCAAGTCCAGCCTGCACGAGGGTTCTGGGACGAGGATCTTTGAGATGCTGGTCACTGAGGGCTCATGGCAAGGCCCCCTAGAATCCTAAAGGATGTGCAAATGCCCTGGGGTCTTTTTGGAGTGTCCGAATCCTGTTCTTAGCTTGCCAAGCTCCAAGGTAGGTGATGAGAAAAAACCTGAGCCTTGGGGCTTGACACGACCTGGGAGAGTTCATGTAATTTCCATCTCAGCCCTGCCGCTATGGCCACACCATCTCTCCTACCTGGGCTCCCCGTTAGGAAGCCACCCTCTCAAAGTGGTGAAGGAACAGGAAGGGGAGGAGCTCACACCTGCAGAGAGCTGGCTCTGTGCCAGTCCTGCTCCCAGCCCTGTACCCTCACACCAGCTCCATGAAGCAGAGAGTATGGCTGTCCCCATTTGAAGGAGCTGGAACCAAGGTCCTGAGAGATTGTACAACTTGCAAGGTCACATAGCTCCTATGTGTGGTCTCCAAACTGGGGCAGTCTGGTGCTCGCTGCTCAGAGTCCCCCTAGACTTCACCAGCAGCCTCCTACAGAATGACCCCTTGTGTGTGCACAGCACTCGAGGGTGTGGGAGGCCTCCATCCATCCTGCCTTGGTCCTATTTCCAGGTAATCTCAGACACTTGTCCAAGAGCACATGCAACTCAGGTGACCTTTCCTGAGTCACAGAAGACTGCAGTCTACCTTGGCTGCCACTTGACAGCTATTTCCATGGATGGGCTGTGAGGTCTGACTCCAGGTGACAGTGAGAACCGCAAAGGAGTGCCCTCGCTTGGTGAGCACTTACTGTGTGCTGGGTGGATGTAATCCCATTTGATTCTTTCATCTGCCTGTTGTTTAGGTACAATTGTTCCTACTGCATAAATGTGGAAACTGGGGCACGTATAGCACGTGCCATGGAGGAGCCTGAATTGGACCCCTTGTGCCTTGAGCCACTCTGTGGGTCGCCTTCCCTTTGCCTCCCCGAGTTACCAGCCATGGCCCAGCACACACTAGGGGCTTGAGGTGGCCAAGAAACCACCTGGAAGCTAACCTTCACTGGTGACCAAGTCAAATCCAAGGGCACCAATGGGGCCTCAGAGCTGGCCTCGTCCTGGGGTGGAGCCAAGGGTTGGTGGGGGCAGGGCCGTGACATTTCTCATTAGGGCTTCTGTCAATGGCCTTCCCTGTCCCTCTGTCTCTCCATGTCTCCCTCCTCTACCTCGTGCCGAGCCTGGGCTCTAAACGTCTCAAATTAGATTAATCAGGAGTTGGCAGGAGATGTGACGGCGATGCCAGGCAGTAAACAAATCTCACCCGTCAGCGCCTCGTCAGCCCACAGCCCCAGAGGAGGGCCCTTCTAGACACAAATTCTTATTAGACTTGTCAGATCTATTAAAATTCTTTTCACACTCCTGAGTTCTATCAGCCCCATCATTAGGACGGCCCTGGCCTCTGGGAACACCAAGGCCGTATTAATCTGCCATGTGCCCCGTCCCTGGCCCCCTGCTTCCACCCCCTTCAGGGACAGGGAGGGACAGACAGATGGATGGACACTGGCTGGAGCAGAAAAAGGTGTGAAGGTGTCCCTGGAAGGTGAGAGGCCTCGGGAGAGGACGACTCTGCTGCAGGAGTGTCTGGCCATGTGTACGCTCCATGCATGCCTGAAAATGGGCCTCTGAGGATGGGCTACAGGCAAGTCTAGATCCACTGCTAGGTGACCTCAGATGAATGACCTCTGTGGATACCACTGTCTTAGTGGGACAGTGGGAATATGCATGCTCATTGCACAGCGTGGCCATGAGGGTGGAGCGGCAAACCCATAGTGCGTGCTCAATAAGCAGTCATTTCTCCTTCCTCTGTACACAGTCATTTGGTAGAGCTGTATCAGTGACACTCACACCTCTCTCTGTGGGTGCCTCTGCCCACGTGTGGGTGGACGAGAAGCTGGGAACATGCCTGGCATCATTACTGAGTGTCTTGAATGAGTCTGCGGTTTCATCTGTGACTTGAAGTTGAGGCTCTAGGTCCACTATTCCCATGCCGTGTAAGGAAAGGTAAGCATCATCTCTGAACCTAGTTTTTGCAGCGGCAAATAACTAGCTTTTAGAATTACATCTATAAAGGACACACATCACCCCGTGCCCTGTGGGCTAAACTCATGCACAGGACAGATGCAAGCAGGTGACTGGTGGATCTGGGCAAATGTATAGGGGAAGTTTGGGACACGTGACTCTCCATGCACAGCAGGGAGCACAGCCACAAGTGTATTCGGTGACCCAGGCTCATGAGGCAGGTGGTTCATGGGCACAAGATGCGTCCCTGGGCTGCCCCAGAATGTCCAAGGCGAAGGAGATCAAATGACAAAAAAATCTTTGCGAGGATGAAGCTAATCCTGACCCTGTTTCACAGATGGGAAGACTGAGGCTCAGAGAGGCAAGCCTGTTACTTATCCACACTAATTGGTGGCAGAAGTGCAGATTTCAGTTCAACCCTGGAGCCTTGGCAGGGTGGGGTCTGTGCTGGGATTCCCTTTGGGTGGGGCTGGAGAAGGTGGCCCAAGAGGAACCCTGAGCTCTCCTGGAGCAGCCAGGGAAGGGGGTGGAGCTGGGGGAAGTGGGAGGAGAAGGGGAAGGAGGAGGGGCAGAGAAGGGAGGGGGAGGGCAAGGGAGGCCTGGCCAGGGAGGGAAATTGCTTCCCCTTTCCCTCCCTGGGAAGGGGGCCAGGCCCCTCCTTTCTCGCCTCCTGGGCCCCTTCCCTTTTGATCCCCCTCCCCCACCACCCCCATGCTGACTTTGGGGTTAATTTTATTTCCGAATTGGGCAGGCGCCCCTGGAGCAGGGCACAGGGCTCGGGTGTGACTAACGCCTGCCCCGGGCCGCTGTGCTGCGGCCTCTGCTTTCCAATCTTTATCAAGAGCATGTGTGTTCCGTGCCTTGCTGGGAACACGCGCTGGGTCAGGGGGTCGCCAGGACCCCTCGCAAGTGCGCCCTGCTCTCAAATGTACACACAGATGTGTGCTCCCATGCACACGCATTCATACACACAGTCACACCACAGGAACACACACAGGTGCACGTCGTAACCGTGTACAACACACACCTACACACATGTACATACAGCCACACATATCTGCATACTCATAATCTATGCGTGTGCAAACGTGCTTTTTATACACATCCACAGCATGACATGCACTGTATCCCAAGCACACAGCACACATGTACACTCTCCAGTCCAGCTTACACGACCGAGTGCACATTTAAGCATCTGTGTTACTGCCACATATACTTGCATATATGTGCACGTGTGTCCACACACAAATATACATGCATACCATGACCTTCATGTGCACCCGTGTAGTTATGTGTATACACGCCACATGTGCTCATCACCTGATTACACACGTACACATAACTCACCTATTGCAAGGACGTGCACACTACATAGATGCTGAAACACACAAACACGTCACGTGCACGAGCACACACATCTGCACACACGTCTGTGATGCCTGCACTGCACTCACCCATCTATACGTGTGCACTACATACACGCGAGCGTACACAGACACCCAAGAGGTAGAGATCCGCACAGCTGACCCTCATTTAGCTGTGGAAGCCAAGACTATGGGAGTTAGAGAGCTGGGGGCCAAGGCAAGCCAAGGTCAGCATGGCTGGCCAGGCAGCGGTGGAGGAGAAAGACGCCCTCAGGCTTGGAGGTCCCTTCTCCCTCAACATGCCTTCTGATTAGTTTGACACCAGCAGGTGGGGCAGGAGCAGAGCCTGGTGACCTCTGGCTCCCTGTCCCGTCTAGGCCTGCCCTGTTGCTGGCCCGTGTCAGGCTGGTTGCCAGAGGCTGCAGCCAGAGCCACCTTTCCAGTCTTTGGTCTGAGGATCCCGTCTCAGCCTCCAGACAAGGTGCCAAGGGGATGGTGACTGGCAGGCATGTGGAACCCTTGTAGTTTGGGGAAACCAAGGCTGAGGCATAGAGGACAGCTCCAAATACAACCCCTCCACCTCCCGCTCCAGGCAGGGGGCAGGAATTGCAAGGTCTCCTACTGTGCTGCCCCATCACCACAGGCAGCTGGGGAGCACTCGAACTGTCTTTAGTGCAAATGGGGAAGTGAGTTTCAGAGGCTTATTTACTTTTTTCTAATTGAAATGTAAAAACTGATCTTTGATTTAGCTGTTTCATGGTTGGAAATTTTCTAAGTCTACTTGGAACAGCTTGGCTGTGTAAATAACTCCCTCAACTGAAAACTAGGAAATTTAAATACGGTTGGAGTATTTTGGATGAAAAAAAAAATTAGTGTCTGAATTAAAACGGCCCCTAAGGGTAAAACACACAGTGGATATAGAAGATAACGTGAGAGCGAGATGCTGACTATCTCGTTTGTAATCTGAGATGGATTATATGCCGTAGTGATAAATAAAATACAGAGTAAAATAATGTGACCCCTTTCTTCTTAAGTTTTAAAATGTGGCCATTAGAAAAATCCGGAATGACATTTGTGGTTTGTGTTACATTTGTATAGGAGCCCAGGTACCTGATCAGATGACCTGGGTTTGATGCGCAGCTCAGGTATCACCTTACATCAGCTGCGCCTCCTTTCTGGACATGGGTTTCCCCATCTGTGAAAGGGGCACCCTAGAAATGAGCAGAGGGCCTCAGTGTGGGGGCAGGGAGGAGGCGGAGCACTCACTCTGGCTGTACTGGCCGTACTGGTAGCCAGCCACGGGGTCCACGCTGTAGCCGGTGGCGCTGTAGGTGGGCGGGCAGTAGGACTGGGAGGTGGGCAGGCTGTCACCAGGCTTGATGGAGTCTGCCCGCTGGCTGCAGCTGGCTGAGATGGAGGAGGCTGAGTCGAGGCCGCCGTGCAGCGGGGAGATGGAGAAGTCGGCCTGCGGCTGCGGAGGCACCGCACTGGGGTTACTCAAGATGCCCATCACCTGTGAGAGAGACGGTCAGTGCCCGGCTGGAGCGCGGCCCAGCGCCTGTGCATGGAGACCACGCCTGGCTGGCCCAGGGCAGGTCTTCCTAGAGCTCTGCCCTCAGGTCTCTGTGGCATTTGAAGGCTACCAGTCTTCAGTGTTTCTCCTGTCCCAGCCCACAGGGCCTCTGTCCACTGAGGGCTCTAGGGGGCAGGACAAGCCCTCTTTTACCTCTCCATCCATAGATCCTGGCTCAAGGGGTCACCCTGGGCCTTTCTGCTAAAGGACGAGCGCGTGAAGGAACAAATGCAGGCATGAATGAATGAATGGACTAGCTAAGGGCACCCTGGGCCTATCTGCGGAAAGAATGAATAAATGAATGAACGCCTGTATGTGCATGAGCGAGCTTACTAGATAGAGCTGTCCCTCGCATCAGTCAGAGAGCCCTCCTAGGTCAGGGAACGGAGCCTCCCCATCAGCCTAGGACGCCCAGCTTCCAACACATACGCATACACACGTGAAAGCAAGACTGTGATCTTTCTGGAACCCCCGCCCCCACTCATTTCCTGTGCTAGGTTTGCTCTACTCTTCACTTCTCTGGACTTTGAGCTCCTGCCCCAGCCACACCAAAGCCCAAGGTCAATGCTTTTAAACAGCTTTCCAGGCACCCTTCTGTGACTGTGCCAGCTTCTGATGTCTGTGACTGTCACCCCCCACACACACACACTCACCCTGGTTCAGTACATGGGACCTTCCCATCAGTGCTGGCACTCAGACTGGCATGGGAAGGCTTGTCTCCAGAAACTCAGCATAAAGAACCTGGTGTCAGAACATTGATGCTTGCTTATTCATTCAACAAACAGGCATTGGTGGTAACTCTGACCCAGGCCTCAGGCTGAAGGCCCTGGGACTTCAGAAGAGAAAAAGTCCTGGTCACTGTCCTGAGGGGAATAGGAGGGGGCAGTTCTGAATCTGGTTGGGGAGGCAACAAGAAAAGGCTGCCAGTGAAGGGTGATGAAGGCAGGGTAGGCTATAGAAGCCTGTGGAGAGGACCCAGCCTGTCTGAATGTTAGAGAAGCTTCTAGGGGAGGTTCCAGGGGAGAGAATGGGGATAAGCAGTACAGGTAGCAGTCCTGGAGAGCAAGAGTGACCCCGCCAACCCCAGGCAGGGGGCACAGTATGTGTGTGGGGCCCCTGGTGACCTCCTGGTGATGCCAGATAGGCACAGTTCTGCTAAGCATTGGCTCTACTCTGAGCAGAACAGAATGGCTGTGTGCTCTGAGTTCTCTCTCGCCTCTGTGGAGAAAGCAGACTGTGGGTTGTGGAGCAGGGGCTGACCAGACACCTTCTGAAGACATCTGCCTTGTCATTTGCGTCCATCCCTGCCATAGGCACTGCAGCACAAGAGCAGGTCAAGATCAGAGATGTGGGTTCCTCGGCAGGGAGAGACCCGAAACTCCTCACTTATTAGCTGTGAAACCTCCAGGGACCCCTCACCCTCCATGACAGTCTCTAGTCCTGGGAAAGGGATGATGACGGTATACAATTCAGAGGGTGGCTGGAGAATGAGGGAAGCGGTACATGGGTGGCTTTGCCCACAGCCTGGGAGAGAACTGGGGAAACTGAGTCTGGCTCCACAAGCCTCCTGGGGGTCTCCACTCTCCTCTCAGCCATCAACCCCCATGATTCTCCCAATCCAGAGATCTACAGACATGTGTGTAGGCAGAGCTATGGTATCCATTTCTCAAATGAAAAGACTGAGGTCCACAAGGGCTGTGGCTCCCTGAGACCTTACAGCAGACCTAAGGGCAAGGAGTCCACGGCTGAGTTGATCCGTCCTAGCTCGCCTGCCATGGACTCTTACGGACAAGATTGATGCATCTGAGCCCTTCAGAGGTCTACTCCAGGTAGTGGCAGTAGTTTGTTTCCTGGGCAGCCGGTGGGGTGAGGGGTGGGGTTCCTCCCCTGAGGCTGGATCCCATGGGAACAGAATGCCTTGGCAGGGGGTCCCATCCTTTCCCCTTTCCTTCCTCCGGCCTCTCCCAGAGTCAGAGCCAAGAGCGTGGTCCAACTGGAGCTGCCAGCCCCAACAGGTCTTGTCCCATGGTAGCTGGTGGGATTTAGGTGGGATGGAACCGTGTCAACCCCTCCAAGATGGCAAAGACATGGTGCACATCTCTGGGATGTGGGAGGATGAGAGGAAGCTTTCCCAGGGAGGCAGGAGGCTGGGCCATGGTGGAGCTGCTTTGCATAGTCTGAGCGCTGAGGCCTCCTGCACTTGCCCTCTGCTTAGTGCTTCCGAGGTCATTGCCATGGTGGGTCCACCATAGTGTTGAGCACTGGACCATGTCTGTGGCTTTCTGACCTTCAAGATGGGATCTCCCCAGCCTGAGGCATTTGCCGTGGGGGCTGGTAGGGCCGGGAGGCCCCCCTCTTTTTCAGGTTGTCTGTTGGATGCCTCATTAAGATCCCACTTTCCACTTAAATTAATAAATTGTCACCCACCCCATCCCCACCTACACAAATACAGGCCCCGCTTCCCTTCCAAGGAGCCTGGGACCTAAGATGGACTTCGAGGCCCAGGAGGAACAGAGTCCCTTCCTTCAGAACATGTGGCAGGGACTCCTGGAGGGATCCAGTTTGATCCTTCCATTCTGCCCTTCTCTAAGATGTCCCCAGAAAGGATGATGACAGAGAAGGGATGGAAAGAGTTGGTAGGGAGAGGATGTGGGGCTTGGGACTGACCAAGAGCTGTGCACAGACCCCATACTCATCCTGTGAGACAGAGACCTTCACAGAACTGCTGTTAAACCTGACCACATCACTCAACAACTGTCAATGGCTCCTTAGTACCTCCCACCAACCCCTTCTTGTGATCTGACCTTTACCTGTCTGTGCCAATCCCTTCCCTACCTCCTGTTGTTTCCTACAGATAACTTTCATTCATTCATTTATTCACTCAACAAACACGTCATAGAGTGTACCAGGCTCTAGATAAGCCGGCTGGAACTGTTTCGTCTGCCTCTGCAGCCCACCTCTCCATTGTGAATTCGGAAAAGCTCTGTTAAGTTCACATGCATTTGTTTAACAATATTTATTGAGCATCACAGGCTAACACTTAGCTGGGCAGTGGGACCACAAAAATGAACCTGTTCCATGCCTTCCTGCAACTGTCAGCCTAACAAAGGAAACTGACAACACACAAGTGAACAGATAAATTACATAATTTCTGATACTAATAAATGCTATGGAGGAAAAAACAGAAGGCTGTGGTGGGGTGGGAGGGACTCAGGAGAGACCTCCCCAAAGAGGGGACAGCTAGCAAGTCCAAAAAGAACCAGCCATGGGGAAATGTGTCAGAAGCGCTTTCCAGACAGGGGAATCCGCAAGTGCAAAGGCCCTGGGGTGGGAACACACCCAGCAGGTTTAAGAAACAGCAATAAGGTCAGTGTGGAGAAGAGAAATCATGGGTGCTGTAAGGCCTCCTGCAGTCCTTTGCCAGAGGGGTTTGTGTGGTGCCTGGTGGCTCCAAAGCCCTGGACCTTGCCTGTTCACAGACAGATGACAAACAGCTTGGCACAGGGAGCTTTTCTTGTAATGGGATTTGCTCAATGGGATTTGGCCTGGAACATCAAATCAAATCCACATCTGGGGTAAGTGTGAATGAGGGACAGTGTGGCATCACTTGAGTCCCTCGGGCCTGTGGATCAAAGGGTTTCCATTTCATTCAACCCCCTGTCTCCACGCCAGAGCAGCTTCCCAGCAAACTGGGCAGGACCCATTCACGGAGAGGCGGGCAGGGGCCACTGTGGAGAGAAGAGCATGGCCCCAGTTGTACCTGGCTCACTTCAGTGGTTCCTCAACCAAATGGGCTCCTATTACCCCATTCTGCAGATGGAGAAACTGAGGCATGGGGAAGTGACAAGATTTGCACAAGCTCTCACAGACATTTGGCTTGCTCTGCACCCAAGCTTCCAGCCCCTAGTGATGCTCCTTCCCCACCCAAGATGGGCTGTGCAGAACCCCCTGGACCCCCTCCCTCTCCCAGCCTGCAGCTGGTCCGGGGACTTCTGGAAGTCCCTCTTTGCCCACAGAAGCAGGAAGCATTTTGCCCACAGTGAGAGGCCCAGCCAAGGTCCGGGGCCTGCAAACTTTTGAACTTGAGGAAGTCCTGGCCGGGTGCCGCAAGTAATCCACCCCCTCAAGAATGCCGAGGCCTCTCTAAGGGTGGGGTTTACTCTTTCCCGGTGACCTTGCTTTCACTAATGTATTACTTCTTGGTACGGTACCGTTACTAACTCAAAATCAATACCGACCTCCACATCTGTAAGGTTTTATCTGAAGGCAAATCTCAGGGCTGTCTGTCAGGCTGACTGACAGCCCCACCTTCCTTTCCTCCCCTCCCCTCCCCCACTACCCAGCCCTCTCCTTGCTCCAAATCAGTCCCAGCCTGGACCAGACTAAATCAATAAGGGGCCAACCTCACCCCCCTTCCGCCCCTGGGGAGAGGCCTGCTGCTTTTGGGGGTGGGCCCCCCCTTCCACAGCCTCTGCTCACTGCCCCCTCCCCTTCTAAAGTAGGCGAGCTCCCCTACTTTAAAAGAAGGGGATGGAAAAATGTAATTAATTCCCTCCGTTCCTGAGCTGGCCCTGAGGGCCTGGGACCGAGGAGGCTGAGCTGCTAGGTCTGCACCCTCTGTGATAACCGCGTGTGGCTTGGGAGCACGGCTGCAATTAGAACGGCCAGCACAGCACCATCGCCATTGTGGGGGCTCCGTGGCAGGGTTTGGGTGGTGGATGGGGGAGCAGCAGGGGGCAGGATGAGGGAGGTGCAGGGGCCTGAGACTGGTGAGGTCAGGATGGTGGAACTGGAGGGGCACAGTGACATCATGTCCAGGACCCCTGGAATCAGCTGAGGTCTTGGATCTCCCAGCCCATACTGCCAGAGGGTGACCTTGAGGCCTGGAGAGGGACAGCAGTTTGGCTGAGGGTCCAGGGCCAGTTGGTGCTGGGGAGGAG